AAAGACGGATGGAATGACTCTGCTTATTATGACACTCAATGCACGCCAAAGAATAGGACGACGACGACATTTGATTCAAGCGACTCATTTTTATGATGATGATGATGATGATGAGGAATGAGAATTATACCCATATCATTTTGTTTGTTTGGCTCCCGACAGCAGTCGAACAAGATGTAGGCTGTTTACTGCAGGTTGTTTGCCTTGAGTTTTGATATTGACCAATGAAACGAAGAGAAACAGAACGCCCTTGAATCGGTCTATATCAGTGGTTCTTATGCACATTCACTGAAGCCTTCATTAGTGAAAAAAAAAAAGATTTTTTTTTTTACAAATTCAAGACATAAAAACAAAATGCATTTATTAAAAAGAGAAAAGATCGAACCCACGTTAAGAACCATTGCTCGATATATTTAGTCAATGGCACGTAGCAAGTCCAAAATAAATTCGGTCCATCGCAAGTTATCTGCACCGACGCTGCTGACAGGTTGTGGTTTATGATCAGCGGTAAAGATGTTTACAGAGGTAGTGTATTGATGGGCGTTAATTGACCATATGGCTGTTTGTTTGTCCAACTGGAGAGCGGCCAAAGACGGCGCCAATAAGGCCGCGGCAGCGCACGTGCGTTCGATATGTACTCACGTGCACGGAGACAGCAATTTCCAGCTACAGCCCATCTGTGCGATGCACACCCGCCCCCCCGACTTGGTCGTCATTAGGCTGCACTTTGGAAGCGCAGGCTTGCTCATTCCTTCCGGCCAGTTGAGCATTTTTTATATTTTTTGGTCGATCTCTTCCTGTTTCTGTTGAGCGTGTGTATATTGTTCAGTTGAGAACACCAAGTTGTGTCATCGTGAGTATTGGTTGTGTAAATCTCAGCGCGCAGTCTTCAGCCTTCCTGAAGTCGGTGCTTCCAATTGCACGACAAATGAAGTTTGTATCTTTGTCAGACTTGATGTTGGCTCTCCTGGGCTGCAGAAGGAACGACTGAAACGAGTCAGCAGGTGAAACGGCGTTCACATCGGTAACCGGATGGGACGTTGGTGGAAAATGATGTTGGGACATCTCATCTCATTCCATTTCATCCCTCTGATTGGACAAGCACCGTTCCGATTAATTGCATTTAATTGCATTGATTGACTCCGCCGTCATCTCTTAGACGGTTGTGGTTAATTTTGATGTTCTGTTGCAACAGATGTTCTCAATCATGCGAATTTGAGACACTCTTACCTTTTACAGTTTAGATCCTTGCAGGAAAGAAAGGTAAATACGTCAAGTGTGTGTGCGTGTGCGCGGGTGTGTAAATAATGCAGGAGCGAACACTAAATGTCAGAGCTAAAAATTCCTGCCATTGTCTTGCTGGGATTCACTGCATATTTTATGTATTTTATAATTAGCGGCAAAGTCTCAGGAGAGGAGAAGAGGAGAATTAGGCCTGGCAGTTACGGCTTTCACTTATTCCTACAACAATTTAATGACCTTCATTTGAAAGGCAAATCTTGCTCCTCTGCAGAGTTGAACATGGCAATTCTCACCAAGTGCGAAGAGCTCAGCATGTACCGGTCATCATAAAAGGACAAAAGTCGCCAAGGACCGCAATAACCAAAATGTTTTAACGTTTTAATTGTAAATCGCAAACGTTTAAAGCAAGGAGCCAATAAGTGGAAAATCGAAGTGAGGGTCCGCGCTTCAGAAAAAAGAGAAAAACATTAAACAAAGCAGGGAAAGTGAGCAACAATAAGAGACAACGAGGAGGAGAGTGATGTGAATGTCGAATGAGTTCTATTTAAAAAAAAAAAAAAAACACTTGCACTTCGAATCCATTTAAAATGGAGCCCAATGTCTTTGGCTTCATCCGCCGCGTTCTTTTTCCACTCACAATATTGCCAAATTTGGCCACCGACACTGTGTAACCTTGCCGCCGATCTGTCTGAACATCCTGTGCCTTCGCCCTTTGCGAGCCTGATGCACGGCTCAAATCTGGCCCGGTCATCGGTTCTCCTTCCTGGGCACGGAACAAAAGGTGAGCGGGAATTTGCAGTCAAAGCCTCAACTCTGTGAAATCTTCTTTCACAATCTATGACCAAAGTCCCACACTTTAAGCCGGACCGAAAATCTCATTTGTCTTGACATGACTTTGAATGGTTTTCTCCCCGCCCAGTTTCTCGTGTCTCTCGAAATCTTTCTGCTTTACCTGATACTTTAAGATTCCATTTACGCTTTGTTTTCTCTGCTTGACTCTCATCTATGGGATTGTTTGCATTTGTTTGTGTGTGTGTGTGTGTGTGTGTGTGTGTGTGTGTGTGTGTGTGTGTGTGTGTGTGTATACACATGATAAAATTCTCTTGCATTTTTCTGAGTATGGATTGGTGAACTTTTTTTGTTGAAAAGGCACACTATAGACTAATCCCTCCGTCCTATTTCCGACCCGCTTATCCTCACAAGGGTCGCGGGGGGTGTGCGGGAGCCTATCCCAGCTGTCTTCGGAGGCAGTAGGCGGGGGGGGGCACCCTGAAGTGGTCGCCATCCCATCGCAGAGCACACGTAGATGAACAACCCTTGCACACTCAGGGACAATTTCGAGTGTTCCATTAACCTGCCCTGCATGTTTTTGGAATGTGGGAGGAAACCGGAATACCCGCAGAAAAGCCACTTAGGCACAGGGAAGGCATGCCCGGTGCCTGGAATTGAACTCTCGACCTCTGCACTGTGAGGCTGATGTGCTCACCAGTCCACCACCATGCTGCCCTGTGCAGCACAGTGAATACATTTTATTTTAAAATCATATTCACTTTGACCACACCATGAAGCCACATCATTTCTCAGTGGGCCATGACCTGCCATTCACCCCCTCACACACACACACACATACACACACACAATGCCAGAAACCACAAAATGTACACCTTATCGGTCGTAGAGTAGGTGCACTCAGTTACGCTGCCACTCTGCAAGAATTTTATGAATAGCCTAGAACTCATTTTCATCTGATTTGTATTGTGTGCACGTTAAAACGACTTTGTGGCCACTTCTGAGTGTTTTATGGCTCATGTTGTACATAATTCCTGGCCACAAATGAGTGTGTGATGGGCCCGTTGGACTTCGATTATCGCAACAATGTGAGTGGACCCAAGCCCGCGTCGTGCGTCGGCCTCCGTAAATATAAGCGCTCTGGCAACGTTTTGACTCGTGGGCTGTGCACACAACATCAGCAATATCCCGTTTGAACGTAAAGCCTCCAAGTTCAATCGGTGCCTTCAGTTGACATATTGCTTGACAGCAGGCAAAAATTGGACCGAAACACCTTGAGCATTTTATTTTTCATGTCTATGTATGCAAGTATCCACAGAAATTAATTCACTAATTTGTTTGCGAGCTAAACAGGGAATACTTAAAATCCCATTTCATTTGAAGCATCCTCTCCGCCTGCTTTGCATATCCTGTCTGATACGCTCATTTCTCCCCACGGACTTTCTCCCAGTCAACGATACTTTTTAGTCATTAACGGTGAGCTTAACGGCAAACCTCCACTCTCTGAAGGCCAACAGTCTCCAATTAGAACGGAATTGTATGTGGGTGTGTATTAACAAAATAAGTACGTGAAGACCAGTTTTCTATGTGATCCCGATATACAGTACACACTCTCGAGTTCCTCCTTCTCTGCTCTATTTATGTACTCGAACCCCTGCTCCTTTTTGGAGTCTCTACTGGAATTAATGTTGAACAACACAAAAGTCCCACTCTGGTTTATTTATATATATATATATATAAAATGTGTGTGTTTGTGTGTGTGTGTGCGCGCGTGGTGGTTTATATTTCATCTTGTGTAAGAAGATGCATTATAGCAGTCATTTGCTAAATTGCTCGTACCAATCATTGGAGTTGGACTTGTCAACCAGCTCCCAGAGCTTGCATTTACGAGGGACGAATGGTCACAAACAGCCCCACCGTATCCCAATTGGCCTCCAATTGTTTGCTAGAGTGCAGTCGAACCTGATTACGATGCACCTCGAGGGACAGAGCGAATCTAACGGTAGTTCGCTGTAAACATTTCCAATCGGATGGCCGCCAACGATGATGTATAATACCGTATGAACGTGTTTAGGTGTAAAAACGTGTCCATTACAAATGCGTGTATATGAAGGAAAACAACACGATTTCATAAGACGTGAAACCAACAAAAGCAGCGTTCCTACTTCCTCTCTGAAAACTTTCGGTCAGCACATGAAAAGTGCCTCTCCTCCAGTTCGGGATTTGTCGCAAAGCCGAAGCCGTCAACGTTCCTCTTGCAATCTGTTGGCCTCCAACTCTGGCGTGCTTTTGTGGCCATGACGCACGAAATCGTCGGGTTGGTCAACTCGGCCGAGCTTCTTCTGGGAGACGCCCTTTCCAAAGGGAGAGTCCATTTCAGCCTTCACGAACAGCGAGTTTCGCTTCTGTTGACCAGACGTGTTTTCAGACCACGCTGCGCCCCCCCAGAAGTGCAACAATGTACCGAGTCGATCGGTAGCGTGGCTAAGCAACTGTCCATTTTGTTCATGAGCAAGGTGGCGGCAGCAGTTAGCTTCCCGCGGTTCGTTGTAACAAAGGCCTTTGCATTATTTTGCGGGGAAAATCTGGTTGTTGTCATGAAGTTGGCATCATAACGGTGTTCGTTGGAAGCGAAATCGGCAAATGAACCCGGTGAAATCGGGATTTTGAAACGTGAACGTTATCGCGATGGTGGAAAAGTAGTCAACAGGGCACGTCGAAAAAAAAGAGGTCGGACTGCATATCTCCAGTCGTCGCCAAATGCTATCTTGTTGACTCAAATGCTGCGTGTCGCTAATTTGTCTTGATGGCAGCGTTAGTTTTTTGTTTTCAATTTAGTATCTTCAAGATAAACTGAAGTCAATTGTAACGTGTAACTTGCAAATGTCTCCATTGTGAGACAAATAAAGGTTTTCTCATCTTATCTTATCACTCCGGTGTCCCGGTGTTTCTTTGTTTTCTTGTTTCAGGCCAGCGGGAGGCGAGTGTCCGAAGAAATGCCGGTCCGCGGTGCCCTAGAACATCACCAGCGGCACCATGGCAAATCATTGGCCTGTGAGAAAAGAGGAGTGCTCGCACGGGTCCGCCTCTCCTGCTAGATGGTCGGCGCCCTCCTTGATGCTTCTATGGCTGCCGTGGGTGGTCTTCTGGCTGCTGTGGCCCATCCGAGCCGAACAAGTGGCGCAACACGTGGGCAAAGGGCTCCGCGGGTCCGCCGCGTCATCTTCCTCCTCTCCCTCCGGCTCCTCGGCGTGGGGCTTCAGCACAAGGCAGAGCGGAGGGCAGCTGGACTGGCTGCTGTCAGAAAAGGGACCTTTCCACCGTTGCCCTGAGTACACCGAGTTCAGAGAGAGGTTCCATCAGGGATTTTCCACCAGATACAAGATTTACAGGTGAGATGCCTGTCTGGGGCTGCGTCGACGTTGCTCGGATTGTGTGTCCACAAGATCGATGTCAGCAACAGGTCAAGCCGGAAATCAAATCAAATCTCTGTTTTCCATTTTTACCAGTAAGCTGCCTCACGTATTGCTTCCCACGGGTTTAAGATCGGCAAATTATTCAGTCTGCTCCTCTCCTCTCATACGCTCTACGGGGGCCACTCAAGTGTTCATGGTACCTGATATGAAAGATGCTACAGTTATCCCTCGTTGTTTGCGGCCAATAGGGACAGAAACCCCCGCGCGAAAAGTGAAAACCGCAAGGTAGGATTTGCCCGCCCCCCACGATGAATTTTGCGGGCATGTGTATGTGGCTACCGGCATGATTAAAATCCGGAAACGGTATTCAGACTTGACGTATTTGAGACAAAGATGACAACAGTAAACGTACTGACTTCGAACTTCCATGACAAAACCTCGGACAGAAATGCGCATTCCTCAACATTGCCTTCTGAGGCGGGAGAAGAGGCTTGTGTTGTGCTGAGGTTTTGAAATTGGAGGAAAAAAAAAAAGCACTGTGACCTTCATCTTGTCTTCTTCTCCGTTGAAACAGATTTAATGAGGTTTCTTTTTGAATCAGACAATGGTCTTTTGTTCGTGAAGAAAAAAAAAAACCTCTGACCAAGCTGACGGTTTTTCGGCTGTCACTACGGCCGCCGTCACCGCTTCCTTGTGACGTGCCTGAAAAACCAGCTGAGCGGGTGGAGGCTTCCCCCGACCAAGGTCGAGGCTGCGAACCGTCCCCAGGCCGCTGCCGTCGAGGCAATGTGCTCCTGTCGATGGTGGCGTCTCCGTGGCTGGGCGAGCGTCTTGCTTAGGCGGCGGCAAGGGGTTGGAGTGCAGCATCAAAGCAGAACTGAGACAGTTTTATTCATGCCTTTTGTGTGGCTCAAAAAGAATACTGGTGCAGGGGGAAGGATTTTTTTTCTCCCCTCAGCCGCCTCCGGTGCCTTCGCACTTCTTCTGTTTGCCCGTCGTATGCCCAGTTGTTGACGAATGAAGGCTTGGCATTTGTTCATTTTTCCCCCAGGCGGATATCCCGCCGTACAGTAGTTTCAACAAAACTCTGGCAGCCCAAGGTAACGGGTTAGCGTGACCGCTTGACAAACAGCGAACAACTTTGTAAGTCGTGCCCTCTCTCTCTGATTGATTGCTTTTCCTCAGGCGCAGTGGTTTCTTAAAAATCAAATTAGCGACACAAAATGGGGCCACGGTGAGGGACCAGGTTTCCCCCGGTGCGTCACAGGCCCGGCGGGCCGCCAGACCTTCCCCCCCTCGCCCCCCAAGTACCGTATTGGCCCGAATATAAGACAGTGTTTTTTGCATTGAAATAAGACTGAAAAAGTGGGGGTCGTCTTATATTCGGGGTCTAGACATTATACCCATTCATGACGCTAGATGGCGCCAGATATCATTGAACCGAATGCTGAACTTGACTCCCCAGGCCAAAGTGAACCCCTGCCACGAAGAATAAAAATAAAAATAGCGGTAGCACGAAGAAGAAAAATAAAAAAATAGCGGTAAGAAGGAAAAGAAGAAAATAATAGAAGAGAACAGAAAATGGAGAAACGTAGCGACAATCTGGAGAAAAGTGGGTCGAAGATCGGCCAGGTTAACTGGCAGCTGAGGAGAAGTTATGATGTGATTTACAAAATTTCAAAAATCAGAAGCCATTCGTTTACGAATGTGATTGCACTTTAGTTAACATATTTAAATGTTCAGATTTTAAGATTTGATTGGGGAAAAATAACATGCTTTTTCTCTCAAATATATTGTTATAATCATTTGTTTCAGATGTACTGTAATTATTTTCTGTATAAAAATTTATTTGGTGTTCAAAAAGTCTTTATTCAAACTTGAGTCTTGAAAAAGAGGGGTCGTCTTATAATCAGGGCCGTCTTATATTCGGGCCAATACGGTAAGTCTGAAAAAAAAAAAAAAGCGAATCAAACACTCTTGTGGGAGGGAAGTCGGCCGGGGTCGCGGAGTTCTGAGGACCGCAGTCTTTCTTTGCATGTGCCGTCCTGACACATTTCTAGCATGCACATTGTCGTAGTCGTGGGGCAGAATGCAGTCGCGTCATTATTATTCGATGCAACGTAATAAAATTGCCTGCGGCAAATATTTACTAAATATGTCATTAAGACCATCTGCAATAATCAAACAAAACGTTTGTTGCGGCTCTCAGATGAGCACCAGAGGTTGTTGTTTGGCGCTCATGTTTTTCCCCGACCCATCGACCTCAGATTGACAGCGCATCGGGGCGACGTCGGGTCCGCGGGCCACATCCGTCCTGTCCGCAGACTCCGCAGCCTTTAGGAAGTCAAACGTCAAGTCGAGTATATTTGCTGCTTTTGTTTTGAGGCGCATGCGTGTGCAGCAGCGCTGGCGAGCAAGAGCAACAGCTCGCTTTCAGCCAACTTAACGATATTGTTGCCCTGCCGCCCCCAGTCAACGAGTAGCACGAGCGGGGCATCCTTGACTTTTCGTTTTGTTTTTGGTGTCTCCCGTTTCCTTTGAACGTAAAAACTTTCAGACAATCTTAGTCCTTGCGTATCAAGGCTCATGACCACGGAGGATTGATGGCGAGCAGTGAAGCTGCTGCCACTTGCAGGGCACGCGCTCGGCCAACCTCAACTCCCGAAATGGACAGCGGGAGTATTTGGGTCAATGTTTATGAAGATGGGAAAGTTTCAGGTCAGGTGCAACCGCTCATTATAAAGTTTCTGGTCTGTTCACTTTCAACTCGCAAAGGCTCCCATAACAACTGCCAGCTTGGAACAAATAGGCCGGTGCTCAAAAGAAGTGCAAACTCTCAACCAAACTTTTTTTTTTCCCTTGCAGCCGACTTTCACACGTCGCCGTGCGAGTGGTACTTCATGCGAATGGATTTCTTTTATGTTTGATTTGATTTGTATGCCTTTGCATTTTCACATTGAATTCTTCCCATAACAGGTTGCCGAAGCCCGAATGGAAAACGACGTCTTTCTATTTTGCATCACAAAAAAAAAAAAAAAGGCAAAGGAACCAATTCCCCACACCCGTCATACGGTTCTGAAGTTCGATACAGCCAGATTTGCATTGCCCAACCATGCTTCACCGAGAGGTATTCTCTCTCCATCTTTTAAGCAGTTAACAACTCGATGTTTGAATAGAAATTAGAGAAAGGATTGGTACAGTTGCAGATTATTCGACAGCTGACACGCTTTTATTGTAATAACATCGCACAACAATATGAAGCACTTTTATCTGGAGTGGTATTGGCCAAGGGAGGAAGAAAAGGCAGGAAGGAAGGAAGGAAGGAAGGGAGAAAGAAAAGGAAAAATGCCAAGGAAGGAAGAAAAGAAGGAAAAGGAAGGATAGATGGCTGGCTGGTTGGATGAATGGGTTAAGGGAAGCAATTAAATCGTCTCATTTGAAGCTAATCATACATTTCAAATCAGTACTCGACGCGCCCGTTTCCATTTGAATATTACGCTTGAATGCATTGAGCTCGGTGGACTGGAAGCTGCTGCTTGATTTGCCGGTGAAATTGTATTGGCCTCAACCATATCGGTGTAAGAGCAGCACTTGTATAAGAGCAGGCATTGCAAGATGAAAGGAACGCCTTGAACAGTTCTGCTGCCAAGACGCGCCAAACGTCTTGACCGGATTAAAACAAAAAAAAAAAACCCCACAAAAAAACAAACCTGCCATTCCAAGCAGCTGCACTGCTATGACGCAAGCGAATGTTCAAAGGAGGCATCCGATGGGCGCTGTCTCTCGACAGCGAATAATGTCCAGGTGTTATTTTCCAAACACGTCGCCAGCGGAAAGCTCCGAGGAACTCCTCTGCATCGTCAACAGTTACGGGCAACGCCATTTCCAGGGTTTCCGTTCATCGAAATGCCGGGGGTGCAGGTGCAATCGCGGCCGCGCTAAAACCGTTTCGTGAACCTCATCCATCATCATCATCAGCCAGTCAGCCAGCCAACGGTCGCACGGTGGTCTCGCAAAGCAAAGCGAGGGGAGAAGAAAATGACGCACGGCTCATCTTTGGATCCCAGTGCCGTCGCTGTGGAAAAGCCCACCCGCTAAAAATCAACCCCGGCGGATCCGTGCACAACCGCCGGCTGGCTGCCCTTCTCCCCGGATGAAGCATGAATCCGAAACCGATGCTCGGCAGATGAAAAGCACGAATCGGCTTTTTGTCTTTCGCATTGCAAAAGAGAGCTACGGGGGGAGGTTCTGGTCCCCATTCACGGCGAAAAACGAGGGTGCTCTCTAATTCCCCACGGCCGACTGTCTCGCTTTATCCCACGTTCCAAACTTTTGCTCGGCGAAATGGATGGTGCCATATTAGGACAATGTGAGTGGATTCTTGCTGCTCTCAAACAAAAACTTCAGCCTCTTTGGCCTTCGATGTCCTGAATCACGAGGGGAGGGGAGTCGACTTGACTTTGGCCTTACCTTTCGGCGCATTTCTCTCGTTAGGGAATTCAGCCACTGGAAGGTAAGCGGCCTGGCGACAGAGAAGAGAGACTTCCCGAAAGCGGCGTTGCCCTTAGCCCCGGAGTTCCGACGTAACCTGCGATTACTGGGGCGACGGCCGACCTTGCAGCAAATCAACGAAAACCTCATCAAGAAGTATGGGACCCACTTCCTGGTGTCTGCTACCCTCGGAGGTAAGGAAAGACTTTTTGACACGCGCTCCACATTCATTTCTCCCGGCAAATTCCTGCTTGACTTTCAAATGAACATCGAGTCCGGAAAGGATCAATTGCGGCACCGGCCAAGTCGGAACCGGGGACTCCCGCGCCACCTGCGGCATCTGGCCAGAGCGCTTCAACCGCATGACTCTCCTCCCTCCTGCGAGAGGTGGGCCGAGTGAACGCGAGATAAAACGGACCCCGTTTCTAACCATATGTCTCGCGTTATTGGATTTCTTTTTACCTTCTTCGCCCCTCGGAGAGGATTGAAGTAACTCACAAAACAGAATGGCCTGCGGTATTGATTTCAGACACCTCACAAATCAAAGACGGAGGCCCGCTTTCTAGGTGCGCAGTGACACGCCGCAGAGCATGCTCGTCGCTTAGTAGAACGTGACTTCGATGCTTGGGAAATACGGGCCTGTGGAAAATTGATTCCAGATTTGGCTTTTTTTGTTGTTTTGTTTTTTTTTCCTTCAAGACAATGCCGCAATGGCCATGTTGCATTTACCACGGGACTCACGCTGTGTTTTATTGTAGCTGTAGCTTCTGTTTAAGTCGCGAAACATCCACACAATATGACGATGATCATATACGTTGACCTTGGATTTGTCAAGGACGCGAACTTGAGACTCAGCACGAAGGCTTTGCCTCTTTTTTTGCCAAACCACGCCACCAGAAGGCGCAGGGAAAAAAAAAAAAGGCCACTGCGTCATGAGCGTTGTTTTCTTCCTTCCTTTCTGAGAGTCGGACTGATTGTTTTGATTCTCAGGGGAGGAGTCGTTGACCATTTTCCTGGACAAGCAAAGACTGACTAAGAAGTCGGAAGGCAACAGCAACAGCACCGCGGTGTCTCTGGAACTGCTCCATCAGCTCGCCGCTTCCTACTTCACTGATCGAGAGAGCACCCTGAGGAGACTGCACCACCTGCAGATCGCCACTTCGGCAATTAAGGTAGTCCGTTTCACGCTCGCTCACTTGCGCAGTTATTTACAATCCAGGATGTTTGCGTCACAATTGGGGTTGCTTTAAAACATGTTTTTCCATACGGTTACTCGTTACCGGGGATAAAATGTATTTAGTACCGCACGTACAATAAATACGTAGATATTATACTTAAGTAATATTCGGGGGGGGGTGGGTTGCCTGTGATGATAGTTATATGTTCTGTCTACATGTGCTGCTGCACTATTTGTGTTCAAACCTTCCATGGTTTCATAAGTACTTCGGCATGAATGCTAGTTTTCATGAGCTGGTCTGTAGCATTTAACCTCCAATGTCTCAACGGTGCTTTCCTCCGAAACAACAACATAAACAACACAAAAAAGGCCACTTTGATTGCCAAGTGACAGTTTATCGCAGGATAAACACTGCATTGATGCATGAACTTTTAACAAACGTTGAACTTTGTGTGTGTTTGTATGCCTGCGTGCGCGTGTTGGTCAAGGATGATGATGGGACTTTTTTTTATTTATTTATTTTTTTTTTGAAAAATCTCTCTTGTAGTGTTAGCTGCCGGTTTTCAACACCACACTGCTTCCGCACATCACCCCGCGACATCAAATCTCACCAACGGATCTTAGCCGTAGGATCGCCGTACCGCAGCCCACCCCACCCCAACGACGTTGCCGATCAAACTAGCCGACTGTAACGTCGCTCATGAGCGTCGTCGTCTTTCTCATGGCAGAATTTGAGATCCGTGTACAATTCACCAGGTGCCTTTTTTCCTTGTTTGCGGCAGGCCTGCCGAGTCTAACGGTGAGTAAAAAAAGCTCAAAGGTGTCAAATGTCTTCAGGCTAAATGGTACCCTGCTGGAAATGTCCTCTCTGCGGGAAATAGGCAAATCTGCCCGCAGTGAAATGAATCCAACAAATGATTCCAATTCCAATTGCATACATCGACGTCCTTTTGCAGCCAAGAGATTTGCACGCCCGCCGGCGCAAATTCACGCGTTAATGAGGCGCAGCATCCTTTACATATCGAACAAATAACGCTCTCTGCTCTGCGAGCCACCTGCCGTGGTTCTGCTCTGCCAAATTTTGCTCACCCGAGAGAAAGCAACGCCGAGTGGGATGTACTTGACCTGTGTCCACGTATGCCTGTGGGCACCGAGTGGCTGCAGCGCAAGCATCGACTGAGAGCGAAACGTTCACCTAAACCACGGTGAAATGGAGGAAGCGCTCTTCGGGACTCAGCTGAGACCACACGCTTGTGTGTTATAAAACCACTTGTACATACATATACAAGTGATTTCTTGTTTTTTTTTTTTTTCTTGAATAAATGTGTTTTCTTTTTTATTTTTACACAAAACACTTCCATGTCAACATCATGGTGCGTTATGATTGCAAGGGGAAGCACATGCGTAATCATGGCCGGCTGGCAGTTATCGATGTGGAAACGCTGACGCGCTAATTCAGCTCACAAGAGTTTTCAGTACCGAAGTAGCGGCGTGTCGTCGTTTGCCGTCGAAATGAGAGCAGGCGCCGGTGATTTGCATGTCCACGTCTGGGCTTCTGTTTCTCCGGTAAATACAGCTTGTCTTCCTGTTTCCTAGGTAACGGAAACAAGAACGGGTCCTCTCGGCTGCAGTAACTATGACAGCTTGGATTCCGTTAGCTCAGTGTTGGTGCACAGTCCAGAAAATAAGATCCATCTCAAAGGTATGCTGGCGTAACACACGAGCACACACCCACCAGCAAACAAACTCCTCACCCCTATTCATTCAAAATTCATGAGCACAGGCAAAAACCTCCTCCAAAAACCTGAAGCAAACGGGATCCTCACGACACAGTGATGAATGCAGCTGGGCATTTGCTGTCATGTTTTTTTTTTTGTTGTTGTTGTTGTCATGTGGCTGGAAACCTTTTCGACCGTATTGCAAGAAACGACGACCCAAAAAAAAAAAAAAGCAGCAACAAGAGAGAATTCAAATCCGCGGTACGTGACGGTGCCTTATTCTCCTCCGAGCTGGCTGTCCAAAACACCGCCTCCCATTTTCCCAGAAAATTTGCGATGATCAGGAGTGAATGCGGGAAAACAGTCGGCTGAAAATGAAATCCCGCCCATCGATCTCCCAATGAACAAAATGTACTTGCGGTCCGACGCGCACACCAACGAGAGAAAGACTGAAAGTCACCCTTGCGCGGACTGACTGTTGACCTCTGTCGGTTTTTGATTCCAAGTCTCAAAGCCGGACCACATGACACGCCCCAACCTCCGTCCTGCCAAATCCTCAAAGACATACACTGTAAAAGCAAGACTATCCAGCGTGACATCGCGCTCTGCAGGGGCGGCGGCGGGGGGGATGAGGAATGATGCCCATCTCTTTTCTGAACATTGGCTTTGTGTTTTGTATTCTCCGTATGCTCCCGCATCATTGTTCTCCCTTTGGTTTTTTGTGGTTTTTTTTTCTCTGATCTTTGATTCTGATTGTATGCATATTTCTTGTACGCCTTGAGGGTTTTTGAGATATGCGCGTGTGCGAGCGTTTAAGCGCCGCTGCTTTGGCGTACCACCGGTGGCTCTCTCATCACTAATGAAACGACTTGACTGTAGGGTAGGATCTGAACAAATGACCTTTTTTTTTCCCCCCTTCTGGTCATATATTTGTTCAAGCAGCTAGAACAAATCTAAAATGTAAAATCTTATGACACGCCCAGTTTGAGATCTCTGTTGGAAATCTGCTCGGTCTAAGGATAGAGAATGACAAGTGAGAGGTGTGTGGAGCCCTCTTTTTCTTTCTTTTTTTTTTTTGTTTTTTTTTTTCATGCTTGGCCAGACTTCAGCCTGAGCCAATCCTCTGCATGCTACCTGTCACCATCGAGCTCTTGGAACAACAAGGCATGACGAGAGATTGGCCATTTCCTCTCTCTGCCTCTTATAGCATCCAAGTACTCGGGTGCTGATGCAAAAGAGAGACATAAAGAGGTGGGCCGGCCTGTTTCTTCCTTGCAGTCTCATTTTACGAGCGTCAAAACGAGCAAACAGAAAAGCTCAAACAACTCATAACAATGGACATCTGCTTCTTCGTCTTCTTCTGATTATTTATTTATTTTTGGGGGGGTGGGGGGTTTACCAAGGCCCTGTCCTGTGTTTATGCTACGTGTCGCCCAGCTGGATGGAATGAACATTATGTTGAGGCTGGCAAATGGCACGGTGCGCGGGTACCAAAACAAAAAGCCAAGCCCGGGCTCCGTGAAGTGCCTTGCACCCTGAAATGCTTCCAAACGCACTTCGGGCCTTTGCACACTGCGCTTAGCACAGCGCAGCGTGCGGTTGACGACTCATTCACTTCTTAAAATTATCATCGCAACATTTTTTATTCTTTTTTTTTTTTTTTCTGAATAATGAACAAACTACAGACGTGTGTGACACTTAGTTGTGATTTTTTTTTTTTTTTAACAGCTTGTTGGTGTAGTTTTCAATTTGCAAATGTTTTCGTCAACATGATTTTATTCTTATGGGATGTCAAATAATGCTCGTTTATTGCATGTCACAATATAACAGCGCATGAAAAATTGAAACATTGTGTCAACTTTCGAGATGCACCGATAGATTATTATCACCGGTATTCTTTTTTGAAATCTACACGCAAAGAATATTTAGCTGTTGTTGCGCAGCAGAAGTGTCCCGACGAGGAACGTAACTCAACAACCTACCACCGCATGTATTTATTTATTTTGTTTCCTCCACTCATATTCACTTGCTCAATTGATTTCTAGGCGGGCGAATAATCTAATTTCGCCTCCCATTCAATTTTTCAAGGACATGGCTCCTTTTCAGCGAAGCCTCTGAGCTTTTGTGGAGTCTTGCAATGCGAGTAGTCATGTTAAAGCCAGCTGGGTCACCTCAATTACGGAGGCCTCATTGCATCTGGAAGGGCTTTGCGTGGCTTTGGACAATAAGAAAAGCCTTGAAAAACAAAACCGGGCTCCTCTTTAACTGGTAAACTGACGGAATGTGTTTTTCAATCATGTCGCCTGCCCACAGAATATATGTGAAAAGCAGAAAAACAAAAAACCCTCGATGATGCTGAAGGTGTCAAATTATGGCGCATGGCCATCCATCTTTCAACGACCCGTAAAATGTATCCCGCGATTGGCCGACAACCGGTTCGGGGTGTGCCCCACCTACTGCTCGAAGACTGCTGGGAGAGGCTGCACCACCCTTGTGAGGATATAACGCTGCAGATGACGATCGATGGATGGCAATTCCATTTGCTTGACCTTTAACTCCTTCAATGCCAGCCATTTTTTTCTCCACCTGGGAGAGCCGGGGACACCTTTTGTCTCATTCTTGAAGGCCTACAGATATAAGCATGGAACCTACCAAGTGAAAGCTTTTATCCTCTTCTTTCATCAGGAAAGCAACCATTCTTCAGTCAAGAGCAGTTTAATATCGCTAAGTTCCTTGAATGTACTCTCTTACAAGAAAATTCTGAGGCAAAAGAGCCTTTTGTGGAAGGATGCATTTTCACTTTGCCACTTTTTTTTTTTTTTTTGCATTAGTCATACCTCTAACATCTAAACAATCCTTTCCGACAAATTACAACAAAAAAAGAGGTCACTCTGATTCCATCATAGCAGCTTATTGCAAGAAAAACACTGCACTGATGCATGAACTTTGCATGAACTTTGCAATGAACGTCAAACTTGATCCACGTTCTCGCCACCGCACTGCTTTGGCACGCCACCTCACCACGTGGGATCGCAGTACTACTACACCATGACTCAATACTCACACGATGTGGGCACCAAGATCTGATCAAAGCCACTCCTGCCATCGACTGTTGATTTATCATCCCTCGGTGCCACTTAAGCACTTGAAGATCCGGCAAATTTTCAAGATGTGAGGAATGGGATGCAGTTTTTGTTTTTTACCAATTTGGACCTTATACTGCGTCTTACTTGTCATGCAGGCAACTTCGAGCCTCTTACATCACTTTTCACTCGATACGTAGGTGTTTTGAAAAGCAGACTGATCTGATGTCTGTCAGCATAACAGAGAAGGAAATTGCTTACTGCCGCGGCGGTGAGGGAAGCCAGAATCAAAGCAACAACCGTACAGAGCACACGGCAAGATACTGAAGAAACCGTGGCAGATTTGCAAACGCACAAGCACATTGAATTAAGTCGCCACACATGCACAAACGCACATTACAGTGCGCTTGCCAAGGAACGGAATAGGGGCGGTTGAGGGTGGGGGGTCACTAATTACATCTCTTTTCCAAGCCATCGAACGAGTAAGTACCAAAGAAGGAGAGGCATGCATATTCATTGGTAGGCACTTGCGGGATCGCCTGTTGACAAAACAAATAGATGAGTAGTACCAGGCAGGGAGACAGATTGAGCAGAACAACAAGAACACCGTGCGAATCACATCTGAAAGGCTCCACTTTGGTTTCCAAAAGACAATGAGACACTTTTTGCATCACACGGTGGCTTTTGATTGGTCTAATTGGACCGTGCAGGTATGACAGCTTGCAGTCATATTTTGCATCAAGCCGTGACCACGCTTGTGAGAAAAAAAACAAGCAGGGAAGGAGGTTCCTGCCAATTCGGAACACTGCGGCCAGCTTCGATATTTCTCTGCCGCTCCTAACTGAGTCTTCCTCAAACATCCGTTCCGTCGCGCCATCGTGGGGAAGCTGGAGCCTGTTCCAGTGGCTCTGAGCCAGCGGTCACGTGGAAACTCGACTCATTTGCTCCAATTGCAGTGCAAATACGCGTGGAATTTTCAAAATACATGACGGTGTGGATGTGGGGGATTTGAGTGCCTTTAGAAGCCGACCTCGAAGATGGTGGCATTTTGCTGCATTGACACAATCTATTGAACAGCAAATCTCCCTTGTGTCGCGGTACAATTTTGGGTGCCGGTCACAGAAAGGTATCAAAAAAAAAATGAACCATCTTGCCACCCTCGACTCATGGTTGTTTTTTTTCCTCTCCCTATGTTGTTTATGTTTTCCAGCTGCAGCCTTATGAAAATCGCAACACACCCACACTTCTGCCCTTGTTTTCTTTGCAGGGGAATCAATTTCGCAGTCATCTCGGCTGCTTTATTCCATGTGGTGGTGGTGGTTTTTTTTTTTTGCCCTGTGATTCAACAATACGCACCGCACACAAATCAATGCAATACTCCAAACATGTCAGTACTACGGGGCCACCCCCCCTCGGGCCGGGTCATCGCCGAGGATGCAGATGTGGCTCTCATCCACGTGAATGGGACTCGGTCGGACTCTTGAATTTTTTTTTCGCCCCCCCCCAAGCTTCATCAATATATTGACGTAAAAGTTCAACGTTCTTGAAAAGTTGACGCATAGTTGACGCATCGCTGCAGCGGTTATCTTGCAATAATTAAAGTGGCCTTTTTTTGTGTTATTCGTTATGATTTAGTCGGAAAGCATTGTCTTTGAGGCATCACCGATGAAAACAAAAAATGGCGTCCGAGTGATTGTTGCGCTTGAAATGCATCCTTTCACAAAAAGGTCTTTTCCTCCGATTTTTTGAAAAACAAGTATTTTCAAAAAAACCTCCCTGTATTCAACTGCTGTTTACCAGCGAATGGTAAAAAGTGTACATTTTTTTTCCTCCTGATGAATGAAGAGGGTTAAAGCTTTCTTTTGGTAGTTTGCATGCTTGTGTGGTTTTCTGTCGGCCTTTGATTGGAGAAAAACGGCCGGCGTTGAATGAGTTGTACTTTGCGTTGCACACCGAGAAAGGGATGCCTTGGAACAGCAACTTCGATCCCAAACAGGAAATGGCAGTTCAATGACAGATTGCATTTTCAGACAGCCGTCGTACCCTTGCGCCATCGTGTTTTGGTGAAAAGTCCACTCGTTCAACTGCACCGCAGCTCGGCTCCCCATATTGTGCTCCGCGCGGATGGATGTCGTCGATGGTTGCGCAGTGGCCGTACGTTCCGCGGCTGCGGAAACGCTTGACCGTCTGTCCTTTTTCTCTTTCTGACCCCTTCAGGCCTGCAAGACGTCTTGCCTGATTTTCTGCGCGGGCGTTTTGTGGAGGCAGCGCTCAGCTACGTGGCGTGTAACTCGGAGGGCGAGTTGCTCTGCCGCGGCAATGACTGCTGGTGCCGATGCGGCCCTCGCTTCCCCGAGTGCAATTGTCCCTTGGCCGACATCAAGGCTATGGAGGAGAACCTGGAGAAAAGCAAAGAGGCCTGGAACACTTTCAACCGAGACTTTATGGAATCAGGTACGGGACTACGGTGTTTGCTGTCCTATCGCTGCTGATCACCGGTCGGTTGACATCTTTTAGCTCACTTCCAGACATATACACTTGCGGAGGTTTTGGGTATTGAGCATCGCAGGAGGCGGCGCTCATTTCTTTGCTCCAAGCGTGCCATGCGCCAGATACTCCAACGCACGGTGATCGAAAACCTCCATTTCCTCTTAAACCTGGAGGCTGGAGTCACCGTGCAAATGCCCAATTCTCATTTTGTGGCTCTCCCAGTGTATCCCGTGTCCCTTTCTTTCGACGTAATCCAACACCAGAAATAAAACCCACATGAGCAGACGCTCACAATGCGCATCAACAACTTCGCAAAACTGATTCATGGGATTCCACTTTCCCTAAAATCACGTAATTGGGATGCTATAGAATAGGGAAAAAAAATCAGCAGACGGCGGCGGGATAATCCGGTAGGGGGGGCAGGGGGAAACTGATGGATACGAGATGCCACAGAATGAATCAATTCATTCATTGATCCATCCATGATCTGATGCGCTTCTCCTCCGGAGGGTCGCTGGCGTGCCGCAGCCTCGGGCTGTGTGCCAGACGTGCTAACCAGTCCACCGCCGTTCATTCATGAATTGACTTACTTGCTTACTAACAGATCGAAAAGAACGAACTAGAAAAGGAACAACTAGTACGGGATGGGATTTTTTTTTTCCGTTTTTCTGCAGGAGATTCAGCGAAACGTGTTGCCGCACAGAAATGCCACAACAACTCGCGCCGAGAGCAAACGGCGTCATGTGGTATGCCGAGCCCAAGTGATTGAGGCCATTTGAGTTCAAACATCTTGTTGTTGTAAAATGGATTTCCACCAAGCTGGGACTATTTATCACACGGCGAGTGGGGCTCAGGTGTGTGATATAATGGCGGTAATGATGCTGAACAATTCCGCCGTCTCTCACTAAATTGGAAAGTGAAGCCAAATCACCTGCTTGGGTTTTTTTTCCTTTCTTTCTCTTCATTGGCTTCACGCAGCGTTACTTCTTTACAACTTGGAAGATATAGACGGGATTTAATTGGACACAGATTTTGGGCAGATTGATGTGATGTTTGTGGGAAGGCTCCGCTTCCTCAGTGGCACTCGTGGGATGCAGTTGCGCCGTGTCTTTGGAAATTGTTTTGCGCCTCACATTATGGCAGTCTTTTGTGGTACCGGTGGACTCTTTTGGGACAATTTTGCCAACGGTTTTCCTTTGCATGTTCCATCTTTCAAAAGACGTGATGGTTTCGTCGGGAGATCAACTTTGTAGTCTGTCAGAACAATTTAGGATTGGAGTACTTTGGCTAAAAGTATCATGCGAGGAACACAGTTTGTCACACGCATTCAAAGACGGGGTGCATTCTGTCCGCCCGCCGGCATGCGCGCGGGTGTTGTTATGTTTGGAGAAAATATGCATTGAAGACACGAATTGAGATGAAGGAGGAATGCCGAAGGATGCGAGGGAAGAAGACTTCTTTCTTCGGCTCGAGCTCGGTGCTTGAAACGGGTGCTTCAGCTGGCCCCCCCACAATCATTTGTCGGGCCAGAAGGGGGGCGGGGTTATCATGACGACGACAGATGTCGAGGAATGACTCGTCATCCCTCCACATCGATGCCGCTTGCATGTCCCTGGCGGTTCTATACGACAGACAAGTATAATGGATGCTAGGCGAAGTTGCCTAGCAGATGCTAACGGCACATTCTTATTATTGTGAACAGCGCAGGTGCTCTTGGGTAAACGGTGATCTTTGGAGGCTTGACGATGACGTGATGACGTTGCTCCGACTTGGCTCTTTGCCGCTGGAAAACCAACTTTACACGGCGATGAAGAAAGCACACCCCGGTTCGTGCTCGCAGGAGCGCTTCTGTGCCGAGAGCCATTTTGTTTCCAGTTGTTGTTGTTGTTGTTGTTGTTGTTGTTGTTGTTGTTGTTGTTGTTGTTGTTGTTGTTGTTGTTGTTGATGTGAGTGGGGATGTTCTCTTGATTCGTTCAGTCGCAGCATACAACACCGCCGAAGCCTTGTCATGTTTGTCGTGAGTCATCTTATTGCCCAACTCGTTTGTCGAAACGGAGCCGGCTCACCCGGATGTGCAAAAATCACTAACATGCCCTCATGTGGATTCTGAGCACGTTGCCTGAATGGAGGCTTCAGGAAGGAAGGTGACGTCACTGGATGCAGCCGAGATGCACCGATGCTCCTTCGGCGCCCTGTTGCACCGTTACTCTTGAGGCTGTGAAATATTCATGCGTGCCCGTCTCCACACACATTTTGATAGGCAAGCTAGTGGCTGGGGTAGGCATGCTATCACGATCACGTCTTTAACTCTTCTGTAAGCCTTCAAGAAATGTTTACGCCGGCCGATTTGTTGAGTGTAAGCCAAAAAACAGACTAACCTGTTTTTTGTTTATTTCTTTTTTTTTTTAACTCCGGCATTCAAATTTTATGAAATGTGTAAATTGTAAATTCAGCAATGAGCAAAGGCCGACATTTGACAAAAAATGTTGCCGGTCCGTCATCATCACTCCGTCTTTTTTTTTTTTTTTTTTTTGAAGCCGAATCAAATCGTCAGAACTGTTTTGATCTCGCTTCAATCAGAAATTTCACCGGTCCGCTAGGCCATCAGTCAGTCTGTCCGTGAAACTACATCATACTGCGTCTGCCCAAACAGTCAGCCGAGGTGGCAGCTGAGAATACCGAGGGTGACGGATTGCGGGATTACACCCAATGGGAGAGCGCTGTGGTTTTCTCTGGGCGGCTGACATGGCAACGCACTCGGATCTCGTCAAAGAGCTGCGCGGGACATAAGACGGCCACGCCGCTGTTTGATGCTGTGTGCACGAATCTCCCTTTTTGCCTTATGTGATGTTTCATCCAGACTCGGACGCTACCGTGTGGCTTCGCGATCGTTTGAAATCAAGCAGGGGCCGGGCGGGGGGGAGCTCCCTCAAATCAGAGACAATTGGAATTTGCCATGATGTGGGATGCACTAACCCGCAGAACTATCCACCGGTTTATTTGGGAGGCGGGGAGGGGGGGGGGGTTGTTGGCATAACAACCGATGCAGACAGTGCTCTGACAAGCCGGTGTATTGTTTGGATCTCGAGCCTCTCGTTGCTTGTCTTTGTGGGTCGTTAATGTCCAACGCAGCACATGTTGCCGGAAAAAAAAAAAAATCTGCTTGTCAGTGGTTGACTTTAATGAGTCACTGCAAAATCTCCGGATGCTTTGTTTCCCTGCAGAGAGATTTCTGTTGATGTCTGAATTTCTCTTCCAGCTTTGTGAGGATTTTACTCTTTCATTTTTACCTGGAAGTAAAGCGCGCCGATAAGAGGAGTTGTTGAACTTTCTGGCTACTTTAGATAAGTGGGAGGGGGCGAGGGGCAGGATTGGCAATGGAGTGTTTTGCTGCAAAGTCTCACTCAAGTCAGCTCAGCCGTGTGCTTCCGCTTGTGAGTCTGATTGGCTGGACGGCGCCTCTCCTCATTGCAAAGTGTCAACATGATCCTCTGGAGAATCAATTAGAACAGACACAGCCTATCAAATGTCACCGCAGAGTGTGTGTGTGTGTGTGTGTGTGTGTGTGTGTGTGTGTGTGTGTGTGTGTGTGTGTGTGTGTATGCGGGAACAGCTGCAGTGGTGAAAGCCTCTCACTTAATGAGGTGCTCATTAATGAGGCGACACTCAGAGATGTCTTTTATTTTTGTATCATTTTCACACCCTATCGAGGTTTTATCCTCTCCAGAAACCCCCCCCCCCCCTCCTTCTTTTTTTTTTTTTTTTTTTTTTTTTTTTTTTTAAACAAAGAGTTTGAAAGTCGGGCAATGTGAAAAACCCAAGCTTCTATTCAGCTGCATCAGGGCTGTCCAAACTTTTTTGTTTGATGGCCGCATATGGAAAAAACGGAAGGACGGAAGGGCCACTTTAAAATTCGTTGAAACGCGCTAAAGTCAGTCAAGCAAGCAATCTTAGATTGTTTGCGTTGTCTCGTTCATTTCATCAGCTTTCTGTCCCAGGTGTAAAGGCAAATTGTTGAGGATTTTTTGGGTGGGGGCGGGGGAGGGGGGCACCTATCTCACAGCGTCGATCCAGTTTAACAGCTTCCCAGCAGCCGAATCGCCGCATGCCGAACCGAAAAAAAAAAAAAAAAAGACCATCCTGGAGTAAAGTGGCCATTTTTCAAAGCGTTTCCTGAGGAGCGTTCGCTTTATCAATCGGCCATCGAGCGTACAATCAACCACGTTTTTACAGCACAATTAGCATTTTGATTGCTATTTCTCTTTGATGGGAAAGAGTTCGCCTTTTGCGTGGCTCGTTCATTTTCGATATGAGCCGGCGTCCTTGCGCAACCTCAGGCTGCCGACCGAGCCAAAAGTGAAAACTGGGATTTGACTGCGCACCTCCCGAGCGCGTTCAGTGTCAAGCTCAACATTGAGTGGTGAGAAGCAAAAGCGGTTTCACTCGGGCTGCCGGAAAGCACACAACGGATTTCTTGCGCTTCCTTCTCTCTGTTCCTCTGCCAAGTGGCGGCCAAAGTGGAATCCTTATCATAGGCGCGATACACGCAAAAGGATTTTTTTTTCAAATCTGAAAAGGTTTTTTTTTTTTTTTTTTTAAATCTGTGACAAGCCTAATGCAAAAATATAGAAAATCAGGCATTTGACCGTTTGGGTCTGCTCTCATTCTTTCCACCGACGGCCCCTTTGCCAGCGCGCTTGCGCTGGAGCGCGTTCCGGGCCAGTGCTCAGGTGAGCACCACTTCTTTCTTTTTCCACCGCCAGAATTGGCGCTTGCTCAGGTGGATCATTTGGACGTGGTCACTTTATCAGGAGCTTGCATGCTGCAAAAGTGTGGGCACCCCTAGTGTGGAGCGTCGGACTCCATCACCCAGCCTTGCGGTGAGCAGAGAAGAAGAAGAACAAGAGCGGCGGGGGCCCGCTTTGACTGACTGAGCTTGGTTGGTTGGGGAAAAAAAAATAAAAGTCCGAAATCCACTGGTAGGTGAGTGTTAAGGGGGTGGGGGTGCGGTTCATGTCAGGCATTCCCGCTGAACAGAATGTGTGTTGAAGGCTGAGCTGAAGTTGATGGACAGCCCGAAATATGGTGGCTCTCCCGGTGTTTGAGTTGGCTTAATGGGATTTGGTGTCAAATGCGTCCGCTGTCGATCTATTTGCGCTCGAAGGGGTTGGAAGGATGCAGCAAGGCAGGACTCGATGCGTTGGTGAACAAGAGACACCGAATACTTGCCGACCGCTGAGGTTTGTGCAACTGGGTGATCGTCCGTAGAGGATTTCTTTGGGGAACGGTGGCAGACTTGATCGGCTTGTTATTCATACCGAGCAGATAAATCGAGGGTGGGCTTAAATATCTCAACAGATTTGGGGGGAAAGTGTCAACCCAGAGGACACTTGAGTTCAAAAGAATCGCATACGACCGTCGCAAAAATATTTGCTGTCATCCGTCTCAGTTATGAAAGTCCGACTGAATTTACAGATGCTTAACCGCAACGTCTTCTCCGTACCTGGACCAATCGCAGACGGGCACTATTTCATCGGAGCGTTTGAGAATTTATGGAGCCGGCCGAGCAATCACTCTGACCTGAACGGCGTGAACGATGGCACAGCGGATGCGTTGCGAACACTCTGAAGTGACGGAGATGGCAGCTACCTCGACAGCTGCGGCCCCCCCCCCCCCGGTTTTCCGCGCCGTCTCTCCCGGCCGCCATCATTGCGTGCGCCGTAAAAGGGGGGGGCGCACGTGCCGCCACGCTTGCCGGAAGACAGCCCAAATCCAATCTTATTGTCTGTCGCGTTTGCAGCTGAATTGTGCTCCCAGAAGGAGAAAACAACAACAACAAAAAGATTGCCAAAGTTGTCGTCGCAGGCGCTACACAGAAAACAAGCAAATACGAAAGGTGCTCGCTTTCTGACAGGAACGTCGGTCGCGACGTACGGCAGCCACGTGGGATCGTTTTGTCATTGCGGCGGTGAGCCGAATGACACTTTGACACTCGATTTGCATTTGTGGTATCACAGAAGAAAGCCGGCGCGGATGCCAAACTGGAATAGCGCCGACATTCCTCCCCATCCAAATCGGCGCCGGTACGCACGTGGCGCCGAGAAGGCGCAACCATCAAGCACAGATTCTTCTCCTTCGGCCAAAACGCTGAAACGGTCCACGAGGGGTCTTCACGAAGTGAAATCCCGAATCATCTGGACGTGCGCCTGACGGGCAACCCTTTCTCCTTTGTCTTTCCCCTTGTCTCTGTTGCAGATGAATTCAAAGGCTTCCTGAAAGGCTTGCCCACTGACCAATTCTTGAACGTGTCCACCATTGCCAAGTACTGGTCGGCGGACTTCCCGCTGCAGCGGCGCTACGCACATCTGGAGTCCGGCACGGCTTTGGTCCTGGGCAAGGCTCAGAAGATCGTCAGAAAATTGTTCACCCTCAGCAAACGATGTCCGAAACAACCTCGAATAAGTCTCCCCCGAGAAAGGTACGCCCATTGACCTTTTCGATTGCCATTTGAGCATTGAACTCAACGGGACGCTGTTTTGGCATTGCTTCAGGTCTTCCGGTGACTCGCCAGTTTGAAAAAACAAAACCGGAGCTTTTTTTTTTTTTTTTTTGTATCGAAGCAGCAGACTTGGATCAATTTAGAATTGGATCCATCCATCACGCCGATGCTTGTTTTTTCTCTCTTTACCCTGGATGGATGGGCGTCCTCCATGTTCTCCATCGCTCTCTGTTGCAACACACTTGATTGAAATCATCAGCTCATCAGCGAGCTCTTCGGAAGCCCGACATCGAGCCTGTTCTCTTGAATCACCTGTGTTGCAACAGGGAGACGGGCGAAACATGCGGGACGGCGACCCCCACCCTGGACCGGCCTTTCACGCCGATGCCGTACGGTCCCGATCGCTCGAAACGCTGATTGACCGACATTGTTTGTACGCGTGATTGATTTCGGCACAAAGTCGCTTGGGTGAGCTTCCTTCAGCCCCACTGCTGTGCTGCGGGCAAAACACCAAGGCCCGCGACGAGAAAGAGAAGCGCGGACTGACGCGAGGGAACGGTCGTGCATGCGAAAGGAAGGCAAAAGGGAAGGGAGGAACGGGGGTGAAAGTAGACACACTAAGAAGGAATGAACAAAGACCGAAACTTTCACCAAGGTGTCGGACGGACGAAGGGTCGAGTTGCAGGCTTGCGGAGCGAGCCGCTCTCTCCCCTTGGCAAGCTCTAATCAAGTCTTTTTGTGCGCTGACAGCCTGGCGCGTGTTTACAGAGAACCTTCATTTGCCTGCCAGTTCTTGGCCACGACCAATCACTCCATCTCCCCTCGCTTAAGCCCCCCCCCCTCCCTTGTCGCTTTCTCTCTTTATTTTTTCCTCCACTCTCAATTTCGTTTCCACTTCACACGCGCACACACACACGCACGCACACGCACTTCTCTGTCTCAGAGCATCATTCGGTCTTCGGGCCGCTCACAGCAACAGCGAGCCATCAGTGCCAGCAAAAGATCCATATTCTTCCCCGCACAGATCCATTTGTTTCTTCATCACTTCTTTCTGTCAATTTGCACGAGCCTCGGGGTGCACGGGATCGGCGTCGCTTTTGGGCAATGCTGTGTGCAATTTGCTGAACTCAGCCCGGGCGATTTGGAGGGATCGAGCCCATTTTCGTCTCATCTGCAGTCAAACACGGCAAGCGGCTCTCGGCGGGTCCAGAAAAAAAATTTAGAGAGTAGGAAATGAAAAAAGGAGCCAAGGGGGGGGGGGGGGGGGGGGCTCACGTGAATGAGAGTTGGTTCATCGCAAAGCGTGACGGCTTCCATCGTTTGCGTTCCAAAGGGAAAATGGCTTTAAAAAAAAAAAAAAAAGCTGCCTTCTTCATCCAAATGTCATTTCTTTCGTTACCTTCGACCCCCGACCGCACGGGTGACAGATCCCAAATCACGCATGTCAACTTGCTCCATCCTTGCTAAAATCCGGACCGAAATGTCAATAGGTCATGCGCACCAACAAATAGCGTTGAGACTCGGCAATCATTGGCTTACCGCTCACTTGAACAAAAAGGGAAGAAACGATTCCAGTGGACTGTTTTCAAAACGGGTTGGTGTGCCGTCTACGAGTAAGAGCGCGATGTGACGATCAATCGTTTTGGAGGTTTCACGCTCGCACCGGGAAGTCCTCACACTTCAAAGTGGCCCGCGACAAAAACGAGTTGTTCACGCCTGCCCGACGGCGGATGCCTCGGAAACAATTTCTCATCCACTTAGACTGAAGCTGTTCTTCAGTCTGGAAAGCGCTAACAGAAACGTAAAATGAATCCAAGATTGGACATTTTCAACAATCAGAACCATCAACGTTAACCACCACACAATAGTGGCGGAGAGATTTTCCAGGTGCCGCTTTTGAGTCAAGGTCCTCCACCCAGCTTTTCTGAGAAACATTTGTGAGGGGTTTTTTTTGTTGATTTTTTCGCAGGTCGATTGCCTTTTGGCTGAGCACGGCCCAGTCGCTGCTCTACTGCAACGACCGCGGCGTGCTGGGATCGTTCTCCGAGGAGGTCAAGAGTTGCCGCTGCCCTGCGGAACACCCGACTTGTCAGGGCGCCATTCCCTGTGTCGTCGGCGCCTCGTGCTCCGCGTGCGCCGCGGACAACGTGACCCGCTGCGGCTCCTGCCGCCACGGCAACCTGCTCCACCTCGGTTCCTGTCGACCGAGCATCGCCGCGTCCCTGGACCACTATCTGAACTTTGACCTCGACGTGCCGGATGCCGAGGTTTCCGAAACGTCTCGTACCTTCCGGTGGTTCTCAAACTTGGGCGCTCATCAAAAATGTTGCTTTACTTCCGCTCTGTGACTATTGGCTGCTCGAGCGCGTGTCTGCAGCCTTTGACTTGGATGGCTTTCTCAAAAGTCAATCCGCTCGATGCTTTCCTCATGCCCAATACAGTATCTCGCCAATGATGACAATGCCGCAATTACACTGTTACAATAAATAATCAAATAGAAGCTGTTAAACATCCAGGAGCTTACGTTATCGATATATGGTCAGTTCACCCCCCAAAAAAAAGTTTGTGTGGAAACAGTTTTCCATCTATCTATCAAAAAAAAAAAAATAATAATAATTCTCCTCATGGGATTAAAAATGTCCAATTCATTTTTTTCCATGAGCATTGTTTTTTTTCGCAAATAATCATCAACTGAACAATGTACCCCCCCCCCCCAAAAAAAAATTTTTTTTAAAGCTGGCACAGACTGGAAAAAGTAAAGGGATGCTCACCGGGAACACCCGCGTGGCCTTTGAAAGGAGTCGCCCAACCGCTCAGTCATTGACGAGCAGAGGTCGGGCCGAGGCTGCGAGAACTTCAGACGAGTCGGCTTAGGAAAATTCGAGCGCGGGCGAGCGATAAGGGGGAGTTTGAACCCTCGGGACGGGGAGTGGGCCGGCCGCGACTTTTCCCCGTCGCTAAGCGGGATCCGGCAAGTCTGAGAACCACTGTCGGCGTGAAGCCGTTGTCTGTCTTTTGTTTGTTGTCCCCAACCCACCCCGGGGACGTGAAAGTGAACGTCTGTTGTTTTTGCAGGCCAAGTACCTCCTTGAGCAACTGGACAGCAGAATGGAGGTCCACGCCATTTACATCAGCAACGACGTCCGTCTGGGAAGTTGGTTCAATCCGGCTTGGAGAAAGAGGATGCTGCTGACTCTCAAGAGTAACAAAAATAAGTCCAATCTCATCCACATGTTGATGGGCATGACTTTCCAGATCTGCTTAACCGAGAACTCGACACTGGAGCCCGTGCCGGCCATTTACGTCAACCCTTTCGGGGGCAGCCACTCGGAGAGTTGGTTCATGCCCGTCAACCGGCCTGACTTCCCCAACTGGGAGAGAACTCGACTGGACTCCTCCGCCGCCGCCGCCTCCGTTGCGCAATGCTACAACTGGACCTTGTCCTTGGGCACCCAGTGGAAGTCCTTCTTCGAAACCGTCCACATCTACCTGCGAAGCCGCATCGTCACCGACGACCCGACGGCCAACGAAACGCTCTTCTACGAACCTTTGGACATGGACGACCAGACGTCGAACCTGGGTTACATGAAGATCAACACCCTGAAGGTTTTTGGATACAGCATGCACTTTGACCCCGAGGGAATGAAGGACTTGATCCTGCAGCTGGACTACCCGTACACGCAGGGAACGCAGGACGCCGCCTTTTTCATGCTGCTGGAGATGAGGGATCGCGTCAACAGGTTGGCCCCGCCGGCGCCGCAGCCGCTCGACCTCTTCTCTTGTCTGCTGCGTCACCGACTGAAGTTGTCCGCCGGCGAGGCGGCGCGCATCAAGGAAGCTCTTCGGATCTTCAACTCCAAGCTGCCCGACGCCGCTCCCGAACCCGAGCTGGCTCAGCTCTGCAGCTAAGCCGAGCGCCGGACGGCCATACTCTGGGATATTCTCCCGCTGAACCTCGGGCCCGGTCGGGATCCGTCCTTGGCGAGATTGACAGGCGGAAGGGACGACGTCTCCCGGCTGCTTTCGCCGTGTCGTGACTGTCAGAGGCCGACGACGGGGGCGCGTCGGAGACCTGCCGGGGGACGGGAAGCTTGGCCGAACTCGCTTCCTTTCGCCGCCACTGCCTTTCTTTCGGCAAACTACCTGACAGCTGCGAGACTCGTGTCATTCGATAGGTATCGAGGAACTCTTCAGGGGTCAACAAGAGCAAGATCGTCCTTTTGTATTTTCTTTGGTGACCGAACAACCGAGAGAGGAATACAAACGAAATGCGCTTCGAAACGACGTTTACGCTTACATTTTGATAACTCCGACCGCGTTGCTATCAACCGATATTTGTTTTCAATCCCTACCTTGCATTTTTTTTTTTTTTTAAATGGACATTTCAAAACGCGTATTCCCGCTGAGCAACCGAGAGGCTTGTTAGTGTTCGCTCTGTACTTGGTGATGTGTGTTGACCAGAAAAAAAAAAAAAAGCTCAACACGTTGGCAACGCAAATAGCGACATGGCTTCGATGTTGCTTCTTTTCTTTTTCTCCTTTTTTTTTGAGATGAAAACCGAAGGTGATGTGGTTCTAAAAATATCTATACGTTTGCGAGTACAGTCCTGTAAATATTGCGCCATCGAACTTGAACATGTGCACACTGCTTTTTAGATAACCAAGTGCAAAGACCAAAAAAAAAAAAACAGAAATGTTGATAACAACTCATGCCTTATATGGAGTAAGTGTCGTGAGAAGCACATTTAGTTTTGGTGTTTGATTTCCTGGCAGGTGACGTATTCCATTTCATTTTCCAATCAACGGCAAAAAAAAGACGTCCATCCCGCTAACCGGCGTTCCCACGTCCTCGCTGGTCCCGCCGGCACTCTCGGCTTCCGTTTGCTCAACGTTCAGCTGTTGCCGGTGCACGCCAGTACTTCACGTCACGTTAATCGCTCACCCAAAGGTCCTCCGGGTTCAATTCGAGATGCTCTCGGAAACCTCAAGCATTCGCTATGACTAAAAATGTTTCGGATGTTTTTATTGCACCAGCCCAAAATGACAAGTCCAACGTGGTCAGCGTGACCTGCAAATGTTGCCGTTTTTCAAGGTTTCTGAAGGGCGCCGATGGTCATTCGGAGAAACAACACGACACCTTCGAACAGGTATTAATTATTTAGGATGATTATTCCATTGTGTATTTTTAAAAAAATCCAGAAAACATCTGTCATCAGTGTATTTGGGTTTGTTGTCCTTTCCAGCTGCCAATCAGCTTGCTCGATTTTAAAATCAAGTGGCATGTTTCTTTGGAATTCATTCCTGTGAATTTTTTTTGGGGGGGTGGGGGGTTCTAATTCTGAAGTGCATTCACCACTGTAAAGGTAACAGACACCTCAACTCAAGAGTGTCATGCATCAGCCCCGTGATAAATTTGCTTCTCTGCCCCCCCCCCAAAAATCTGTTGGTAATTGATTTGAAGCTAATTATTTGACACCATTACCAGCGAGCTGTATTTAGTAACCAGCGCCATGAACTGAATTGGTTGTTAACGACAAAGCGTCGCCTAAACGAAAGCTGGAGCGGCAGGCCCAAGTCAAGTGCGCTCGATTTAAGATGGGGCCGCACCACCTGGCCTCGAATATGGCCAGCTGGGAAAAGTTGCCTCTCATCGCCTCCCTGGCGTTTGCGCACGTTATCCCAAAAGCTTTTCTCTGTTGAGTCGTCCGTCCGCCGGGTTCCTGTGAGCCAACCCCACTCGCAGCGTTCACTTCCTTAAATCTCGGCGCTTTTCATTTCTATTGCTCCATGTTATCCACCCCCTACCAGTCGCTGATCTCATTGGTCCTTGGCGAACCATCTGGAATGTTGCGGCCCCATCTGTTGGCCCTGCTCCATCACCCACAGCCCACACTGGGGTGGCGCGGGGGGGATTTTTTTTTTTCATAATGGTACAACATGGCATTGATGTCTTATTGCCCCCCCCCAAATCCTCTTGTTATATGATTACAATAAATGTTCTTACTTGCACTTGTGTTGTTTTTTTTCTTTTTGAATGAATGATTCCAATGTTGGGAAATGATAGATAACAAGAAGAATCGCGCAGCCTTGACCTTGGCCGTTTCGGGGAGTCTTATTTGGAAGGTTTCCCGACCCGCTCAGCTGTTTTTAAAACACGTCACCTGGAAGAAGTGACAGCTCTGATGAAGGCTGAAGCGACAGCCAGAAAGGAGTTTTTCCCTTCCCCCCCCCCCCCCCCAAAAAAGAAAGACCATCGTCAGGGGAAAAAAAAGAAGCCTTAAACCTAATTGAACCACAAACAGACAAGATGAGCAAAAATCTTACTTTGAATGGTTCATTTCCATCCTGTATCCTCCACCGAGGTTTTTCTGCATTGATAGGATGTGCCCGTGCGTCGGAGGTGATGACTCATTCATATACAACCGAGGTCACCAACCTTTTGGAAAGTGGGAACTACTTCTTGGGTACTGATTATTGCAAAGGGCGAGCAGTTTTAGACCCACGTCTGGACTTGAGATTCTGCATTCTCAGCAAATAGTTGATGCTAGCGAAAAGACATCTTGGGAGAAAGAGATCGATCTCGAAATGAGATGAGGCTGACGTATTTGTCAAACCCAAGTCTGCATGATCGTCTCTCCAAGTGCGGGGCCTTCAAACATACTCTGTGACCAGTTATTTTGCGCTTGGCCGAAACGTTTTCTATTTTGACCGCACAGTTCTTCAAAGACACAAAGAAATGTTGTCTTGCGCTTGTTTACAAGAGGGCATTTTGCCATTTTCGGATGAGGAAAACAAATGGACTTGACAGAGAAGCCTTTCCCACATCTCGATCAAAATGCAAACACTGCGGGCGCGGAGTTAAGTGGTAGTCATGTGAGGAGTCGGCGAGAGTGCAATCACAGCCCGCGCGGGTTAGATATGGACATTGTGGACACGCCTGGCCTTCCGTGCCCGGGGATGCTCAATCTCCATCATCAGCGCGCAACACCGGGGCTTCAAGTACACACTCGCACTTCTGGAAATGGACCCGCTTGAAAGTGCAATTTTGCAGATAACTCTCCCTGTTGACTTCCATGTGGAACGCATCAGCGGTGGGGAAGCTCCACCTCGGGCATCGTTTCCCCCCTTCCCCCCACACGGAACAATCTTGAATGTTGCGGCCCCATCTGTTGGCCCTGCTCCATCACCCACAGCCCACACTGGGGTGGCGCGGGGGGGATTTTTTTTTTTCCTAATGGTACAACATGGCATTGATGTCTTATTGCCCCCCCCCCCCAAAATCCTCTTGTTATATGATTACAATAAATGTTCTTACTTGCACTTGTGTTGTTTTTTTTCTTTTTGAATGAATGATTCCAATGTTGGGAAATGATAGATAACAAGAAGAATCGCGCAGCCTTGACCTTGGCCGTTTCGGGGAGTCTTATTTGGAAGGCCCCCCCCCCCAAAATCCTCTTGTTATATGATTACAATAAATGTTCTTACTTGCACTTGTGTTGTTTTTTTTCTTTTTGAATGAATGATTCCAATGTTGGGAAATGATAGATAACAAGAAGAATCGCGCAGCCTTGACCTTGGCCGTTTCGGGGAGTCTTATTTGGAAGGTTTCCCGACCCGCTCAGCTGTTTTTAAAACACGTCACCTGGAAGAAGTGACAGCTCTGATGAAGGCTGAAGCGACAGCCAGAAAGGAGTTTTTCCTCTTCCGCCCCCCCCCCCAAAAAAGAAAGACCATCGTCAGGGGAAAAAAAAGAAGCCTTAAACCTAATTGAACCACAAACAGACAAGATGAGCAAAAATCTTACTTTGAATGGTTCATTTCCATCCTGTATCCTCCACCGAGGTTTTTCTGCATTGATAGGATGTGCCCGTGCGTCGGAGGTGATGACTCATTCATATACAACCGAGGTCACCAACCTTTTGGAAAGTGGGAACTACTTCTTGGGTACTGATTATTGCAAAGGGCGAGCAGTTTTAGACCCACGTCTGGACTTGAGATTCTGCATTCTCAGCAAATAGTTGATGCTAGCGAAAAGACATCTTGGGAGAAAGAGATCGATCTCGAAATGAGATGAGGCTGACGTATTTGTCAAACCCAAGTCTGCATGATCGTCTCTCCAAGTGCGGGGCCTTCAAACATACTCTGTGACCAGTTATTTTGCGCTTGGCCGAAACGTTTTCTATTTTGACCGCACAGTTCTTCAAAGACACAAAGAAATGTTGTCTTGCGCTTGTTTACAAGAGGGCATTTTGCCATTTTCGGATGAGGAAAACAAATGGACTTGACAGAGAAGCCTTTCCCACATCTCGATCAAAATGCAAACACTGCGGGCGCGGAGTTAAGTGGTAGTCATGTGAGGAGTCGGCGAGAGTGCAATCACAGCCCGCGCGGGTTAGATATGGACATTGTGGACACGCCTGGCCTTCCGTGCCCGGGGATGCTCAATCTCCATCATCAGCGCGCAACACCGGGGCTTCAAGTACACACTCGCACTTCTGGAAATGGACCCGCTTGAAAGTGCAATTTTGCAGATAACTCTCCCTGTTGACTTCCATGTGGAACGCATCAGCGGTGGGGAAGCTCCACCTCGGGCATCGTTTCCCCCCTTCCCCCCACACGGCGCTGCACTCGTTCCTCCTTCGGACGGTTTTCCCGTTGTGTGCCCTCTGACTGATGTACGTATCCATGCTAACGGTTAAATGGTAGACAAAACAAAAATATCGACCTGTCCCTGCATCCAACACCCTGCTGCCCGTAACTCACGCGTTCAGTCTTTTATTCACTTGAACCAGAAAAACAGATCCGGTTTTACGAGATGCAATTCAAGCTTGAAAACCGACCTGACTAAAATAATTGTCATATTTCTCCTCGGCAGAAAATGTTCCTGCCTGCGGTCCCCTGGTCAGAGGATTGAAAAAAAACAACCCCCCCCCCCCAACAACAATGTTAAATGGTGGAATTTTGGTCCCATTCGAGGACCTCTTCACTCTTTTTGGTTTCCCATCATGTGCAATAAAGCACCTCAATGTCAGACCAGCTCGGCAAAGACAATTAAGGTGCGTAAATATGTAAATATGGTCACGGCAGCTCAACGTGAGGAAGAGCATCAGGACGTTTTCTGCCCCGGTTTGGCTAATCCCCAAGACAGCTCCAAATTAGAAAGCTTAATGACAAGCCATAACGCGCAGATGGTCAACCTCTGGCGGGCACACTCGCCCCTCCGATCCCGCCCAGGCGTCTCGCAGCGTCGCTCTTCTTGCCAACTCCACACATGCACTCAAGCGCACGCGCGGGTCTCGGGACGCGCAGATAAGGCCCTGCCAACGGGCAAGGGCGGCGCGGGGATGAGGCACGCGTTAGCTCGCCGGATGCCATCCGTGCCCCCAACGAGAAGGTCGGCTCTCGGCGGGCCACGCGAAAACCGTCTTCACTCTTTGCGTTCGCGTCTTTGCGCGCCTGCGTTTTCAGGTCGTTATCGGCCGTCTGAGGTAATCTGTCCCATGAGGCTTTGCGGCAGATGATGGCCATCCATCTTCCGAAGCCGGCGTTCACAAATACTCCCGACGGCCACCGGACAGGGTAAGTCAACGCAAGGAAAAAAAAAGGCTTGAGGCGTACGCGTCGGCGAAACCGTTTCGGGCAGAAACTGAGGCGGGGGGAGCCGGAGTTTTTGGCTGATTTCCGACAGTCATGAGTTCATCATCAATTCGCTCCTTGTTACATTTTGCAAATGTAATCATCTTCTCCCCAAGCATTGATTGATTGTGTGCTGCCGTCGAAGCGAGCTGCTGACTCCGCCCGACATTTTCGATCTGCGTGGACGCAGAAATCGAGGGCGGAATGAATCGAGAAAGGGTGACGACAAATATTTGATCAGTAAATTAAAGGTGGCTCATAATCTGGAATTTGCTTTTGACGTCAGGGAGTTGGAGCTCGTTTTTCCAAAGCGATGACAGTTTACAATCCTCATACACTTCTTCGTCTTGCACCTGCAAGAGTTGAGCCACTGATTCGATCGATTTGAGCTCGACGACTCACCATCTCATTGGCAGTTCAACCCACTTGTGAGCGAATCGACGGCAAAAGGTCATCGTTCAAAAGTCTTTTAATCCATCTCGAGGCGCACACGAAAACGATGGCGGCACGCAAGTTATTGTGTCATTCTTGCGTGCCATCGAATTTCTTCAAAACTGAAAGGGAAAAGTCACAAAAGCATCAAAGGGACAAAATTCAGAAGCCCGCTTTGGAAACAAATCTGTTCAATCCCAACGACATACGTTTCGAGAGCAATGATCATTAACTACTATGAGTTAAATAGCTGCTGATTGTCGGAAACAATGACATAGCAACTGCGTGAAAAAGTGCTCCGGCTGAAAAAATGTCACTAAATACGAACATACCGTCGAACGCGTTCGAGACGTAAATGTGATCCTTTAATCCCGCTTCTTCCCGACGGATTGCAAGTCAAGATAAGTCACTTGTGATGACTGACGTCGAGCGCATCTCAAGCGTTGGGGTTTTTTTTCGATGCTGGATTTAACGGCGATTATTATCGAGGGATTTGATTGTGCCCCGGTCTAAATCCGGCCGAATGCCAGGGAGTGATGAGAGAAATACTCCCGTTTGGCTTTTCACCGATTTTGTATTAAAGTCACCACTGAAAATTGGAAAATACACTTCAGTTGCCAAAACAACGCGCTACCGTTTCAAGATTCAGAACCGCCCCCAAAAAGAACAAACTGTCGTGAGGTGGCCATTTTTCAAACGGTGCCTTGAGGATCATCAATTTGATGTCTTCATCCGTCAGCTGTTGAGCACAAACTATTTTGTCCCGAAAATTCAATGATCTTTCTTCCCGATAAATGATTCTTTTCATTATTTATTCGTATCTTCGGTTATAGCGAAAAGTTTGATAGTTCGCCATCTCTTCTCCCTCTGGCCACTTTTTTAACTAACCTTACGGTCCGTGTCAAATGTTATTTTTTTTCGATGACGCTTTTTTGGGGGTGGGGGGGCATGTTGCGGGCCGCTGCAAAATGGATGGCGGGTCACAAATGGCCCCCGGGCCGTCGTTTGGACTCCCCTGCAGTCAACTTTCCACGCATCCTCCAAAGTCGATTTTTTTTTTCTGTTCCCATGAAACGGCTTTGGACACGTTGAAGGCGCGGCACGTCACGCGACCGTTTGAAGAGGCTCCAGTGGTCGTCGCCGTGGGGGATTTTTGTAAGTCTTTAACTGACAATTGAGGATTCTTCTTCACCTCTCTGAGCATTCTGCGCTGTTCTGTTGCAGTCATCGTTACAGGACGGCCACTCCTAGTTTGAGTAACAACAGTGCTGAACCTTTTACATTTATAGACAATTTATCTCACCGATTTTAGAGTTACTTTTGTAACACTTCCCAGCTTTATGCATGTCAACAATGCTTAATCGTAGGTCTTCTTAGAGCTCTTTTGCGTTTTTCATAGGGCAGGGCACCTTCAATCTCATCTCATTGATTGGACTCCAGATCGCCGACTTCTGACTCCAGTTGGCTCATGAGCCTAAGGGTTCATGCAACATGTCAGAAACAACAATGACTAGTGTTAGCATGTTTAGCAATATTAGGAGCTTCTCCGATCGTCCCCCTTTTTTCCCCGCTTTTGATTATCGGCAACGACCCAGAACTCATGCGAGTGAATCTATCGGAATTTCATCTCAATCTCTCTCAGGCAATCGCGTTCACATGGGAACACCGACTCGCAATCTCCTCTGTGCATTTGCTCGCCGGTTTTCATCTCTCTGCTCACGCCCAGACGTCGACATTCTCTCTCTCTCGAATCTCTTTTATCAAAATCATTCGGATCGAGCTTTATCCCTCGATTGGACTCGAGCCACTTGCTCATCTTAATTGTGCTGCTGTCATTGCGCACCGGGGCCAAAACAATGCCGCCGTGAAATTTGGAGTCGCAATGGTTTTTTCACTCGGTTACGGACGTTGGAAACTAGCGGGAACGTAACAAGTGAGGTTTTGTATTTTGCAGAAACGGCCCTGTTGATCAAACGGGAGCTTCGACCGAAAAACCACTTGAAGAATTCGTTGATCGTCGACGCCACCGAGGAAGCTAGCAGCAACGCGGTCAATTGCAATGCCATCGGATGTTTCCGCATTGCATCCTTTTTCAGCCAACGTAGCGGCGATCTCCGAACTTTGAAGCGTATGCACTCACGACTGGGTCCTTCGATTTATTCCGCATCACACGCAGCGGAAACGGCTGCGCAACGAACAACGATGGCGGCTCACGCCACTAACGCAAGCGACCGAATGAAAAACGACACGAACAACTCGATACAGTAGAACTGAAAAGAACCAAACATGACCTGCAACACGGTATGGGAGGAGCAACGGTGAAGTGGCATTCCGTCTCTGACATGACAGGCGCAACACACAAGCACTTTCCATCAACTCAACATGTAATAACTTTCACTCAATAACACGTGAATTAAATAACAATACAAAAAGCAACGCGGACTCAGAACGAATCACGGAACTAATTAAGCACACCACGCGATCGAAAAAGACAAACAAAGTGAAAGATTCTTCTCAAATGACAAATGAATTCACATCGCCCAATGTTTTGACTTTGCCAGAGTAATACGAGGTTGCCGGAAAATCCTCAATGCATCGCAGCCTTGGCAAACTCCCTCATTGTCCGGGCTAATGCGTCACGCACCAGATGTTGAGCTTAAATGCCGTTTCTGAATAGAGCGGAGGCCTCGCTATCGGGAATTTGTGTCGGAAACATCACGCGGTCTCGCACAATCTGGCCCAATTAGTCGGCTCCACTTTTGAGCGCAACCTGAGAAAAAGCAGAGTCTGACGGAGCACTTTGAATTTCACAGTGCCCAAAAATAGCTTTTCAAACTGGAAATACAAACATACTGCACACTTTATTTGCGCAGAAAAAAGTGACTCGAAGCAAAGGCTGACGGTCAAAACTCAACATTGTGATGGTCTTTGTCAAGTTTGCGAAAGCTCCCGTTATATTTTGGAAGCGGTCATTAACTTGAGGCCGCCGTGATCCACGGACTTTCAAGTTTCCTAGACTTGACATCCGTGTCCCCACACGAAAGCCGGGGCTGGAATCGAACCTGGTACCTCTGCACTGTGAGGTCGACGCACTAACCACTCATCCACCGGGCCACCTACCTAGATTTCTTTTTTTTCATGAAAATGAGAAAAGGAGACCGGCATCGCGTATGGTTTGTCACACAACGATAATAGATTAAACCATGACACATCTGGCGGCACGGCGGCGCTCTGGTGAGCACGAGTCAGCCTCACAGCACAGAGGCGCAGGCTCCGGCTGCGGCCTTCTTCCGGTGTGGAGTTTACATGTTCTCCCCGTGCCTGCGTGGCTTTTCTCCGGGTACTCCGCTTTCCTCCCACATTCGAGAAAACACGCACGGCAGGTTAATGGAACGCTTAAAATTGTCCCGCGGTGTGATTGTGAGTGCGGTTGGTTGTTCGTGTATGCATGTCGGGGTGTCGTGGTGAGGTAAGGTGGGGCCAGGCTATTTCCAGATTTGAAAAAAAAATCATATTATCTTGAAAAGAACTCTAAAATGTAGAAGGAGCCAGTCAAGAGGCGGGCAGCGGCATTCTAGACCACCTGGAGACGCTTGGTGGGAGGATTGGCTGACTCCAAAATCAAGAGCAGGACAGTATTCCAGTCGAGATGTGACAAAGGGCATGAAGGACTGTTTCAAAGTGCTCACCAGAGAAAGGAGAGGCACGACTTGAGCCAGCTGCCTCGGTCGAAAGAAGCTGGATTGGACAACGCCACCAATCGACACTGTAACTGTTTTGGCATACAGCCCCAAGGTGAATAGTTAGTTAGGCTTTTATTCAGCCATTTTCACACTTAAATTCATCAATTCCAATTGCACAACACATTTGCCCCTCGGCGCCCGTGTTCAGTGGATTGCTACGCGACCATGTGATGGAAAGGGAGCGTGAGAGGGGGGGGGAAAAAAAAGGAAAAAAAAAAAAGAAGCACTCGTTTCATTGAGCCCGAGAGCCCGCCGTCGCATCCGAGCCCCTCACTCAGTCTCCTCCGCCAGGCTCCCAGCCTCCGACTCGAGCAGCCTCCGACTCGAGCAGCCTCCGATTCGAGCAGCCTCCGTGACAAGCTACAAGGAGGCGAGGGGAAATCAAGCATCGGCTATGGCGCCTACGAAGCCGGGGCCGAGCCCGCTCCCGCCACTGCTGCTCGCGGGGCTCCTTCTGGCAGTCCTGACGGGAAACGCGCGGTGTCTTCACGGCGACGAGGACCAGAACCAGGACACCGAATGCAAGACGAAGAGCGTCACCGTCTCGGCGCTGCCCTTTTTAAGGGAAAACGACTTGAGCATCATGCACAGCCCGTCGGCCTCCGAGCCCAAGCTTCTCTTCTCGGTTCGAAACGATTTCCCGGGAGACGTCGTGGTGGTGGACGACTTAGAAAACACCGAGCTTCCATTTTTCGTCCTCGGTAAGTTCCGGCAGCGTATTGCGCGGAGCCCGGCGGCTGCTCGCGGTGTGGATTGAAGCTTCGATGTAGCATCGTAGCACCGGTCTTAGCTTTGGCCCGCTAACGACAAGAATCACCACCATTGAGGAAAGAAGACGGCACATAGGACGACACGGATAATTAACATAATAGGCCGCCGCGTCACGACTCGAAAAAAAAAACAACAACCAAAAAACACACACATATATGTATCATAGCCCGTTTATGTCAGTGACAGCCAATCTAATATCTCAGTGTGAATACATTGTTCATTTCAATGACTCGCCTATTGTGTCTTGTTGACACGTTGACGTGTTTTGTTGACCTCACACGCGCTTCAGTAAGCTAGCGTTCGTGAAAGCGTTCCGGGTTAGGGGGTGAATACTTTCTTTTTCTCAGCTCTAATCAACGGTGATATTCCCCCTCTCTGTTGTTGATGCGAGGACGGAAACCGAAAGACGAAAAGTTCGCCCGGCGCAAGTTTGCTGGCTGCTGTCCATGGTGCTGATGTCATTTGTCGTCCACAGCAGTGTCATGCGTTCCACTCAGAAACACAAACTTGATCTTTGCTTCTGTGACTTTGCATTGTGTTGTTCTCGAATAGACTATCAAAACATTCTTCAGCGTTTGGACGAAAACGGTGCCAGTTTGATTCAATTTGATTTGATGCAATGCACATTTGACAAGCATGAGTGCATGCTTGTGTGAATACGCACACGTGCGTGACAACAAGCCAGAGTCAAAACTCAACTCATCTCAACTCAACTGTATTTAGAGAGCACTTTCAAACAACCATCGCTGTATACAAAGTGCTGTACATGGAGTAAATACCATGCATGCAACAATCTATCTATCAATCTATGAGTTGAGTTGAGAATCTACAATTAAACAATAAATTAATAACGAAAACAGTAGAAAGTACAAAAACAGTAAAACTAAGATTATGTCTCTGTCATGCTGAGTCAAAAGCCAAATAATACAAATGCGTTTTGAGACGAGTTTTAAAGATGGACAGCAAGGGGGCTTGCTGAATGCTCAGCGGGAGGTCATTCCAAAGAGAGGGAGCGGCAACGGAAAAGGCTCGGTCCCCTCTGAGCCTCCGCTTAGTTCTCGGCACCTCGAATAATGTCTGGTCCGCAGACCCACCCGAGGCACCGGGCAGGTGTGTAGGGGCGGAGGAGCTCAGAGAGGTAAGGTGGAGCCAGGCCATTTCAAAATTTGAAAACAAATAAGAGGATCTTCAAAATAACTCTTATTAATTGACCCGAACATAAGATAAGATAAGATAAGAAAACCTTTATTTGTCCCACAATGGGGAAATTTGCAAACATCAACCAAATTGAAAAATTAAACCAGAACCTGACACAGGCAGACGGAGGCAAAAGTGCCTCAAGACATTTTCACAAGAATATGGATGTATATGTCACGGATTGACACGTAAACTGGATTCAATTATGGCGGAAGTGACGCAACAGCACACGGCTTCTCGGGGTCGCGTCAATCAGAGCGACGAGGAAGGCACGGTGGTGACCGGTGAGTCGCATCTCGTTCATGAGCAATTCTCTTTGAATATTTCCCTTTTTGTTTTTCTTATACTGCTGCGTGGTGTGCTCCAGTAGTACCCCTGAATTTTTGTTGTTTTCTGTGTCGCTGACAAAGTGACGCTTTGTCACCTGAAACTTGCTGCGCATTGAGTTGATTAGCAACTGCTCGTTTGTTGCCCAGATCGTGTCCGAGAGGGAACGTGGCTTCGGCATCGCTGCCGCCATACTATATTGCAGGTCATGTCGGTCTCTTGTCAATTTTGCTCTTGCTGTTCACGTCGTTGGCTTTTCCTTGTTTCGACTGTATGAGGGGCGCGAGCCTGCCGCTCACCGCGGCCGCCATTCGCCCTCGTGATTCATCGGGGGGTGCGTTCAATGACGCTTGGTAAACGAGAGTATTTTTTTTCTCTTACGCCGCGAGTACTGTACAGTAATGGCAAATAATGGATTACTTGGATTGTTATCATTTCTGCCAGACTACTCGAGTTAACAACATCATACGATCACACATGTTGTATATTTTGTTATCTTATTTGATTCCAAACAATATTTTGTTAGTCAGGCAGAGCTACGAGGAATGCACTTGGGATAGTGCCTATTGGAGTGTTCAGTGAACCAAACTACACATGTTTTTGGACTGTGAGAGGAGACTGTAATGTTCCCATTGCATCCCCAAAAGGACAGGCAAAGTCATAAACTCCACGCAGAAAGACCGAAGCTGACATTCAAAGCTCTTGCGTGTGACAGAAGACAGGCACCGCGAGATCAGTTCCCTCTCAGTGACGATGTGGGTGTGAATGGTCGTTGGTCTCGCTATGTGCCCCGCGACCAGTTCAGGGTGTAGTCTGCCTTCTGCAAATAACTCTTATTAATTGACCCGAACATAAGATAAGATAAGATAAGAAAACCTTTATTTGTCCCACAATGGGGAAATTTGCAAACATCAACCAAATTGAAAAATTAAACCAGAACCTGACACAGGCAGACGGAGGCAAAAGTGCCTCAAGACATTTTCACAAGAATATGGATGTATATGTCACGGATTGACACGTAAACTGGATTCAATTATGGCGGAAGTGACGCAACAGCACACGGCTTCTCGGGGTCGCGTCAATCAGAGCGACGAGGAAGGCACGGTGGTGACCGGTGAGTCGCATCTCGTTCATGAGCAATTCTCTTTGAATATTTCCCTTTTTGTTTTTCTTATACTGCTGCGTGGTGTGCTCCAGTAGTACCCCTGAATTTTTGTTGTTTTCTGTGTCGCTGACAAAGTGACGCTTTGTCACCTGAAACTTGCTGCGCATTGAGTTGATTAGCAACTGCTCGTTTGTTGCCCAGATCGTGTCCGAGAGGGAACGTGGCTTCGGCATCGCTGCCGCCATACTATATTGCAGGTCATGTCGGTCTCTTGTCAATTTTGCTCTTGCTGTTCACGTCGTTGGCTTTTCCTTGTTTCGACTGTATGAGGGGCGCGAGCCTGCCGCTCACCGCGGCCGCCATTCGCCCTCGTGATTCATCGGGGGGTGCGTTCAATGACGCTTGGTAAACGAGAGTATTTTTTTTCTCTTACGCCGCGAGTACTGTACAGTAATGGCAAATAATGGATTACTTGGATTGTTATCATTTCTGCCAGACTACTCGAGTTAACAACATCATACGATCACACATGTTGTATATTTTGTTATCTTATTTGATTCCAAACAATATTTTGTTAGTCAGGCAGAGCTACGAGGAATGCACTTGGGATAGTGCCTATTGGAGTGTTCAGTGAACCAAACTACACATGTTTTTGGACTGTGAGAGGAGACTGTAATGTTCCCATTGCATCCCCAAAAGGACAGGCAAAGTCATAAACTCCACGCAGAAAGACCGAAGCTGACATTCAAAGCTCTTGCGTGTGACAGAAGACAGGCACCGCGAGATCAGTTCCCTCTCAGTGACGATGTGGGTGTGAATGGTCGTTGGTCTCGCTATGTGCCCCGCGACCAGTTCAGGGTGTAGTCTGCCTTCTGCCCGGAGTCAGCTGGGATAGGCTCCAGCAACTCCCCCGAGAGCCTGTCCAGGATAAGCGCTGTTGAATAGATTCTTTGGCCGTCCGTCACGGTGGATGACTGGTTGGCACGTCCGCCTCACAGTGCAGAGGTGCAAGGATTGATTTCTGGCCTTCCTGCGTGGGGTTTGCATGTTCTGCCCGTGTCCAAGTGGCTTTTCTCCGGTTTCCTCCCACATTCGAGAAAACATGCATGGCAGGTTAATGGAACACTCGAATAGCTTGTTGATGCTCAATCTTATTTGAGGTATTGCTGTTAGCGTTGACTACATTCTACAAATACAATGTACATCACGAAACTGGCACTTCGGTTGGGTGTCACTGAGCTAAGCAAACAAATACATGAACCGACTTTATCGATTGATGAACACATTGAAAGGCACAATGGTGTGTCTGGCTCAATTTCGGCTCCTGGATTTGCTTTTTGAAAATGGAGCCGCCACCCCGTGTTTTTTATTCGGCCGCCTACCTCCGGAGGATCAAAGCGACGCCAAAGCGTAGTCTGTATGCATGCTCACAGAGGCCAGCGGTACAGGCAGGGAGCTGGACAAACAGTCTGACACGGACCGAAAAAAAAAAAAGTACATTCTGACCTTTAAGATTACAATCTCATAATTTATGGCACAGCATGGACACGCTGCCTTTGAGAGTTTAAAAAGTAAATAGGAGGGGAGATTGAAGAATCTCATTATTTTGTGCGCACGCCAGCGTAGAGTTGAAAAATGGAGGAAACGATGGCCATGTCGGTAGGCTCGTTTCCAAGATGCATGCGGCAACATTCCCCGCGTTGAAAGCAGTCTAGCGCTCGGTTGGTTTCTCCCTGTGTAATGCCCTTCTTTCATCGGGCCGCAAAAGGCAATACGTCTTCATTTTCGACTGTCATCCCGGACTGGCCTCGATCTGTCAACTCGCCAACCTTGGGGAGAGGTGCGACTGACGAGCATCCGTTCAAAGGCAATGCGGGGCCATGGCCCATCGTTGCTTGGCTGACTTGATTTTCTTTGAATCTGCACATCCATATGCAGACGCACACACACACACAAATCACCTCAGACCACCCCCCGGTTTGGTTTTATCTGGCCTCGAGGAAGTAGCGATTCATTGTGCAGGTGTACGGGCCGGGCAAATTGGTAGCGTTGTCAAATCCCGCTTCTTTCATCTCGGGCAGCTGGCTCAAGTCAAGCCTCGCCTTTCTCTGGGGAGCAACGGTCATACGTGCCTTGGTCACATCCCGGCTGGATTAGTGTCGTGCATTTTACTTTGGCGTCAGCCGATCCTCCATCAAGTGTCTCCAGTTGGTCCAGAATACCGCTGCGGAATACTGGCTGCTCAATAGCCTATTGATTTGTCGACAATAAATTGAGCACAATATTGAAGCGAGAATGATG